GGGGGAACGCACCTGATAGCTCTGGAGCTGAAGACGGCGCCAGTCCAGTTCCCCGCTGACGCGCTCACTGATCTCGTCAACTACGTTCACGGAATCCGCGAGTTCGGCAATGAGGCGCTGCAAGCGCTCAAATGCTGTCTCCGAACTGTCCCCAACGCCGGAGTCACTGGAACCGGGACCGCCTAGAGAGGACACAAAAGAAGAAACAGATAAAAAAGAGGTTAGGGCCCACCAGTCGCCTCGAGCGCACACATCTACTTTCGTGTGGAGAGGGCGTTAACGTCCATAACGCTCCAAATAATTTTCAAGAATACTACTAGACTAGCAGACATTCACCGTCGGTCAAAATTCCATGATCACATCCAGCAGTGGACTCCAGATGCACCTTGCTGTGGCAAAGGACCCTTCTGTTTCATCACATGGCACTTGGTGTTTTCCTCTGGCTTCTATGCAACTCCAACGAGGAGTGACGTTAAGTGTTGTTCGATGACTTCTGAGACATCCTTGCAGGCGGATGGACCCGCGGTTTGGCTCGTCGATTCGCCTGCACTCAGCGGTTGACGTCTAGTAGCTGGACATTCGCCTTTCTGGTCATCTACACCTGTTTTTTTCATCAACGAACTTTATTGTTACAACATACGGGACAGTAAGGAGAACTAATTGGTTGATTTCGTTACCTTTTATCGTGAGCTGTTTACTTAGGAAGACGGTACTGAGACGCCCTTCGAATTTAAACACCTGAACTCTCTGCATGCCAAATCCCGACTTTCAATGCGATGTTTTGAAAGACCACGGAATCGGACCGCTGCAGGATCGAAATCGGCTTCATGTTGCAACATTTGCATTTTTCCTCTACCACCTTTTGTCGACGGCAGGTTGTATGTTCCACTTTCTCCATTTTCAGAATAATCCATAGGCTCCTTTAGGACTGAGGATTCGCAAATAGCATCCAAAGATTGGTCAAAAGAAAACCAGGTGTATTGCTTATTCACGGCGAGAACGGTACGGCCTCGGTAGGGGAAGGAGTGACACGAAAACATACAGCAGACGTCAGTCACCACCACCAACAGCAATCGCGCGGAGGTGGAGGCGGGCGACTAAGCCACTATTACACCATGTACAAAGACAACATTTCGTATAACTGCGTGAGAAGCTAATTGTGGTTGGGGTACGACTGGGTAACAACTATCTTCTAGACATCCTGCACCGCTGCAAGAGCAAGCACGCGCTACACCTAGCTGCTGCCGTCTCGGGTAATAAACTTTGACAGTACGTCCGAAACACTGCGGGTTTGCTGCTTCGCGCGTGTAGCGAAAATTAAAGCAGTAGCTGACGCAGTGCAAATAAGGCAAGGCGTTTCAACTCGGCCAAAATTATTCGCTTGAATATTGCAACTATCAACCACTTGGGAATAAAAATAGTAACCATCTCTGCACAAGATACGATCATAAAAGAGGAGTGACTATACTTTCCGGACCCGCTGAAATGCCTTCAAGGATACCATGCTGTACCGGGACTGGTGAGGAGAATGGCTAGGTCACGATTAAGTCTACGTGGCCGAAAGGGTGTGTTGCCTGGAAACGAGCCAGTAGTCGGCTTGAAGCTTCCACAGGCTTCCATCATCGAGGGCTTCGTAAAGCTCGAATGACAGTCCCTCCCAAGGTGCGTCCAGTTGATAAAACTGTCTGGAACTGAGGTATAGCCTCCCGAATAGACCGTGGATGTTCGGTTGTAGCAGGAGTCACCACCTTCAGTAAGACCCGAAATTCTCATTCGCATTATGGGACAGCGAACTCCATACGGTACAAACATAAATGTGCGTCAAAAAATACCGAAACAACGAATATGTTTCACCTAACGACAGTACACGGAGGCTGTGTCAGGTCTTAAATATGAGCCAGTCAATGAGTTTGTCCGGCTACATCAAGCCTGGAACAGCTCTTATTGATGGTTCTTACACTCCAACGAACGCGTCTCCAAAAAAGGCAGAGCATTCGG